AAAGACTGACCTCCCTGGAGCATGAAGGAATTAGGCAGCAGTCAGTCTTTGGACTTCAACTGCAACATTGGCTCTCCCCTTGTTTCCAGTCTGACAGCCCACCCTGAAGATTTTGGACTTGCCAGCCTCCATAATTACATGAGCCAATTCCCTGAAATAAATATATAAATAATAGGTAGAGAGGTAAGTAGATAGATACAATTTGTTTTGTTTCTCTGGAGAACCCTAATACATCTACTTAATGTTGATCCTACTGATTTTTTCAATGCTGAATATATGAATTTGTTTTAAATTTCTTAAGGATAGAGCTTTTAATGACAAAGAATAGAAATTCACTCAAAGTAGCTAAAGAGGGGATTTATTGGCTAATGTAATTGGAAAGGACAGGGATAGCTTCAGGCACACCTGTATCCAGGACACAAACAGTGTTGTCAGAACTCCCTTTGATTCTCTCTCCTTGACCTTATGCACAGGTGAATGACCCTCAAACAACTCTGGAATCATATCTTTATAGTTTGCAGTCCAAGGTGAGAGAGGCTATTCCCCCATCCTTACTTTTCATAATCAAGGCAAGGATTCTGATGCGTCCAATGCAGATTCCTATGCCCCACTCACTCCTATTGCAGAAGGCGGGACACTGTGATTAGACAATTCCACCAGTACCACATAGAGTCACCAGAGGCTCAGAGTTAACAAGAGAGCCAACATTTCCCCAGCCCCACGTAGACTCCTTTTCCTCAAAGGAAAGGGGAAGGTGTTGCTAATGAAAATGCAGGGACACCTGTAATACACAAACAAAAGATGCCACTACATCAGATGAACACAGCCTTGACTGCCCCACCAGGAAACCTCATGCTTGGGAACAAAGGATGCAGACTCCAACTAGAATAGTATATTCCCCTATAGTCCTCTCTGGGGTGCATCTAAATTTTCCCAGTAGGCAGAACCTGGGACAGTTTTCTAGCTCTGCTAGAAGGAAACTCACTTTACTGCCAAGAAATTGTCCACAAATAGGAAACCATGAGATTAACTGGTCCTATCTAATATTTCTGTTCTGTAGGATGTGATCAGAGTTGGAATGGAAGCAGTCCATTCATGGAGCTGCCTAGAGCTGAAAGATCACTGGAAATGTAAGGTAAGAGGGAAAAAAAAATACTATTCCCTAGTTTCTTTCAGGGGATACAAAGGCATAGCCTACAAGCACTCTGTCAAGATTGCAACTCTGCTGTGTATAAAGCTGGGTTTTCCCAAAGGGATGTAAATTTCCACTGGACTGAAGAGCAGCTAGCTTTCTGACAAAAGGGTTGGGGGGCAGGGGAGACACACATACACATACCACTGCTTTGGCCCAGTAGAGTCAGGAGCAAATAAAAGATGGAAAAGACTTTGGCCCACTAGAAAGCAGCACCTATGAGGGCAAGGAACGCTCTCTCCCCCATCGGGTAAAAATACCCAGGAGTGGTATGTGGGTCCAGTCCCCTTAAGACAAAATAGTAGTATCATAGCAATGTGCATAAGGTCTGCAGCCAGAATGCCAGGGTTCATATTCCTGGCTTTTCCACTGAAGTTGTATGGCAATGGAAAATGTACTTCTCCCTGTGCCTCATGGGGACAATAATAGTTACCGATCTCACAGGATTAAATGACTTCATAAATGTAAGGTGCTTAGAATAGTGTTTGTCACATAGTGAATGCCAATGAAAGTTTGCTATTTTTAAATATTTTGCTCCTTGTCATTCTGGATAATGCTTCATCCTAATTCTCATTAGCAAAAAATCCTCCAAGTGCTTGGCTGACTCTTAGTCAATAATCTCAGTTTCAAATACCTATTGAAATGTTCCATGTTTATAAAGTGTTTTCCATAATACTTGCAAGATTTTATACATTGGGGGGAGCTAATTTTTGTTTTCACCAAACACAACTAATATGAATGATTACTTCCCCTTTATGTGAAACATATAGGAGAAATTAAGTATAGTTTAAAAATTCAAAAGTAAAACCATTTATCTGATTAAACCATACCTTCTAAATTAATCTTTGATTGAAAAAATGGCTCAATTAATTAAAAAATATATTATTTTCATTTTAAGATTGTTATTTCGCAGTGTCGGCCACAAATAAGAAAAAGCAGTAAAATAAACGTACCAACTCCTCCATGATTTACCAAGGCAGTTAGACAGCAATCAGCTTCAAGTGACAATACCTGCCAACAGTTGATGTTCGTAACAAGAAAACCTCTTCTCACACGATACTCTGAAAATGGGTGGTTCCCAGGCTATCTCAAAAGTCAATAATGTCCTCAAGGATCCAGGCCTTGTTTCCTTCCTCTTTGCCATTCTCAGTGGACTGGCTTTTCATCATGGTTTTAAATTGACTGTCATAGCCTTAAACATTAAGTTTCCATTCTACAGCATACCCAACAGGAAGAAAGGAATTGAGGGGAAAAGAGCCTTCTTTGCATAGATTAACTCTCTCTCTTAATCAGGGAAGAAAATCTTTTAAATTAAAACACTCCAGTAGAGCCTCTCTTACAGCTGGTTGGCCAGAGCTGGGTTACATGTCCCCACCTAAACTAACTGGCAAAGAGAAAAGGAGTTAAAATGACTGGCTTACATTAGTTAGAATTTATCCCCTGAGGGATACCTTCCCTGGTCACATCACAAATGATAATTAACAGGGTGCCAGGGTGGCTCAGTCAGTTCATAACCCAGGGGTTCTGGGATCAAGCCCTGCCTTAGGCTCCTTCCTTGGCAGGGAGTCTGCTTCTCCCTCTCCCTCTGCTCCTCTCCCGGCTTGTGTTAAATAAATAAAATCCTAAAAAACAAAAACAAAAACAAATGGTAATTGAAAGGGCCTCTCTCAGTAAGAAGCAGAGGTATATATATGCTGGGTAGGCAGCCACTAGTTTCTGTAGCACTGTTCGGCTCACTGTTTGCTTCTGTCCCATTTCCAGGTAAGGACTTTTACTTTACACTTAGGCTTCTTGCAGTCCCCAAATACATACCCATACATAGCTTCTAGATTCTGTTTACACTGCTCTGTATGCCTAGAAAGGTCTTCCTAACCTTTCCTCTCTGCTCCTCATGGCTGCTCCCTTTTGCAGAAAATCTTGCTCATACCTTGGCCGCTCAGTTCCATGATTTCCCCTCCTCCAATAATCTAATTCACCCCCCACTTCGGCAACTTATTTCATGGCCATCCATGAAGGCTTGTCATTAACTGCATCTCCTCCACAGTCTCAATTTCCTGTAGCTTTTTTAAAAAATTAATTTATTTATTTAACAGAGACCACAAGTAGGCAGAGACCACAAGAGAGGCAGGCAGAGAGAGAGGAAGGGAAGCAGGCTCCCCGCTGAGCAGAGAGCCTGATGCGGGGCTCAATCCCAGGACCCTGAGACCATGACCTGAGCTGAAGGTAGAGGCTTTAACCCACTGAGCCACCCAGGCGCCCCCCACTTTTTTTCCTATAGCTTAAGGGCAGTTCAATGTGTCTAGTCTACAAAGCAATTCCCAGAGTCTGACCTGAATTCATCTATAATAGCTTAGGGAACAAATTCTCCCAACCCCACTGTCAGGTCTATGAACCAAAGGACAAACATATGAACTTTAAATTTCAGCATTCATAGATCATGGAGTTCTTCCTGTTTCCATCCCTTTTTTTAAAATTTATTTGAAAGGAAGAGCAGAGTGAGAGAGAGAGCGCACAGAAATTGGGGTGAGGGGTAGAGGGAGAGGGACAAGCACTCAGCAGGGACCCCAATGTGGGGCTTGATCCCAGGACCCTGAGATCATGACCTGAGCCAAAGGCAGATCCTTAACCCACTGAGCCACCCAGGTGCCCCTCCATCTCTATCTTAGTATCGATACTTTTGGGAACCAGAATTCCAGAAATACAATATACCACTGCTATTTCTTTCTTATCCTGATATTGTCTGTGAACTAATGTCTCTGAAATATTATAGAAAATGAGAGAGAAGGGTAATTTACTATGTTGGGTATCTGAAAAAGCAGTACCTCTATGGCAGAAAAATAACTGACCAAATTTCTGGCATGGAACAGATTATAAATCTCTGAGTCAGGAGAATCCAGTGGAAGAAGAACCCAAGCAGTTTTTCATCTTTTTTTTTTTTTTCCAAGAGATTCTGCTTCATAAAATAAAGCCTGAGTATGCTAAGGCAGCTCTTCCCTCAATTCAGCCTGCTGTGTCTTTTACCAATGGAAATTCTGCCTACATTCTGGAACTTGGTTCTTCATTAGTTTTCAGCATCATGACTACTTTTTTTTTTTTTTTTAAGCCAGATCTGTTTTTCTTTTTTTTTTTTTTTTTTTTTTTTTAAGGGGGCAGAAAAGAGGCAGAAGGAGAGAGAGAGAGAGAAAATCTTAAGTAGGCTCCAGGTCCAGTGCAGAGACCAAAGTGGGGCTCATTCTCACAACCTGAGACCATGACTTGAGTCGAAATCAAGAGTCAGAGACTTAACCTACTGAGCCACCCAGGCACCCCCAGGCAGATACCATTTTTAGCCAGAATTGTTTAGTTGTTTTTTTTTTTTAAACAAGATAAAAATCCAGTAAAGATGCCTTTGGCTCAAGTCATGGTCCTATAGTCCTGGGATCGAGTCCCACATCAGGCTCCCAGCTCTGCAGGGAGTCTGCTTCTCCCTCTGACCTTCTCCCCTCTGATGCTCTCTCTCACTCTCTCTCTCTCAAAAAAAAAAAAAAAAAAATCCAGTAAAGAGTCTCAAATATTTCACAAAAAGCTAAGCCATTTTAGAGTATTTTTATAAGTATTCTCCTTATTTACTTCTGTATAAAAAAAAAAAAAAAGGAAACAAATTAGATGGTGGAAAATGAACTGCTTCACACATTATGCAAAGGAACCATAAGAAATAAAGAACTAACATTAAAATATCCCTGGATAAAATCCATGTGTACAGAAGATGATTCAAGATGTTATAAATAACTCATATGAGGTAAAGCAAACATGCAATATTTATGTATCAGTCTGGAAAAAGGGCATATTTTATTAATCCTCAAGTTCCTTAGCAGATTAATAATAAAAGCTTGGTATAATTATCAATAAGTCCAACTGCTGGGCCCCAAGAAAATGCTAATTATTTTAAGGTGAGTTAGCTTCTTTTTCATCTGATTCATCATCCATAACCTAAAACCAAGAAAAGAAAAAGAGAATTTAAGAATTAAGAAAAGGATTAGAAATTGCTATTTTCCTGATTATACCATTACTTGCTTACCTGAAATACTCCACTCTATAATAATGCATGTCAGTCCAATAAAAATAAGTCTATCAACAGCCCCCAAAGCACAAGTTTGTCTCACAAACTGGTATCATAACAACATAAAAGCAAATTTAATATTAGCAAATTAATTAAGCACTGGTCTTTTTAAAAGATTTATTGAGGAAGAGAACATGCGTTGGGGGGTGAGGAAGAGAGAGTAGGGAGAGGGCAGAGGGAGAGAATCTCAAACAGACTCCCAGCTGAGAGTGGAGCCCATGCTAGGTTCCATCTCAGGACTCTGAGATAAGGCTTAAGCTAAAACCAAGAGTTGGACGCTTAACCAACTTCACCACCCAGATGTCCCAAGATTAGTATCTTTTCATGAGTTAATATATTACTCAGGAAATAAAGAGTTGTCCTTTGGAGAGGAAAAGAGTTATATAAACTCAAGAATTTTTTTTTCAACACACCTACTACAATTAAACACCAATTCAAGTTTATAACCTGACTGCCAATTCATCACCCCACCCTGGATAAGTGAACACATGTTCCTTTGTTCAATCCACCAAAGTGTCAAGTAATGCAATTCTTTAAAGAGGCGTATAAGGCATAGAGAAAATAATGAAACAAAAATAAGTTTGTTTCTTTAAATCTAGAAGAATTTGGTTCTGATCTGAGACTATCATGGAAAAACAATTCATATTTTCTATCTTGAATTAAGTAAAAATGGGTATTTACTTCTAAGGAATTGACACATTATAATTAATCTTAGCAACACACAATCCAAAGAGTTTCATCCATCAATTCCCATTTTAGGCAGCACATTCCTAAATTTGGAAACCTTCTTCCAAATACTTATTTAATACAAAGAATGTACACAACATGTACAACACACAGGGCTAAGTGTTGTAGAAGAACATAAAGACCTGGGTATGATGACAAGTCTCTCAAGGAACTTACCCATAAACATAAATCTGAAACAGACCCACAGGAAGAGGCTTTGGACAAAAGCAGAGCCCAATGGGGCGCCTGGGTGGCTCAGTGGGTTAAGCTGCTGCCTTTGGCTCAGGTCATGATCTCAGGGTCCTGGGATCGAGTCCCGCA